ACGACCTTCTCTAACCGGGAGTACCGGAGCTCGGGACCATGTAGCGCGTGGCTTACATAGTACACCGGTCGCTGGACCCCTTCCGGATCGGTTCGGCACAATACTGCGCTTACTGCACGATCGGAGACGGCGAGGTACACGTCTAGCTCTTCCCCGAGCTCGGGCTTTGAGAGCACAATAGGTGACATGAGGTACTCCTTCAACTCGTCAAAAGCTGCTCGGCACTCTTCGTCCCAGACGAACCCATTAACTTTTCGCAATACCTTGAAGAAAGGTAGAGCACGCTCGGCTAACTTGGAGAGGAACCGGCTAAGGGCCGCCAACCGACCGGTCAATTGCTGGACCTCCCGAACGGTAGAAGGTGGTTGCATGTCCAGAATCGCTTTAACTTTGGCCGGGTTGGGCTCAATTCCTCTCTTGGTCATCATGTAGCCGAGGAACTTGCCGGTCTGAACCGCGAATGTACACTTGGTCGGGTTCAGCCGCAACTGGTACTTCCTCATGATCTGGAAGCACTCCCGGAGGTCCCGAGTATGGTCGGACCGGTCCCGACTCTTGACCAGCATATCATCAATGTAAGCCTCCATTGTTCGGCCCAGTAGATCGGCGAAGAGCATATTGACCATTCTCTGATAGGTCGCTCCTGCATTCCGGAGGCCAAACGGCATCACTCGGTAACAATACAGCCCGTCCGGGGTTACGAAGGCTGTCTTGCTCTCGTCTTCATGGTGCATCATTATTTGGTGATATCCCTTGAAGGCATCCATGAAGCTCATCAACTCGGCCCCGGCCGTCTCGTCGACCATTTGATGAATGCTCGGTAGAGGATAAGGGTCGAGCGGACAAGCCTTGTTGAGGTCCGTGAAGTCTATGCACATCTTCCAAGCTGGGGGCTTTGGAACTAGAACAATGTTTGCCACCCACTCGGGGTAGATAACCGGGCGGATGTGCTCGATCGCCGCCATTTTCTTGACCTCCTCTCTGACAAACTCGCGGCGATCGGAAGATAGGTGTCGTGTCTTCTGTACGACCGGCCTCGCTGCGGGATCGACGGCTAGCTTATGGCAAATGATCGATCGATCGATCCCGGGCATGTCCTCGGGTCCCCACGCAAAAATATCAGCATACTCCCTGAGTATGCTCAGAACCTCCGCTCGGAGCTCGGGGGTGAGGGCCCGGCCAATTTTAATCTTCCTATCCGGGCGGTCCTCGGATAGGGGAACTTCTTCTATCTCTTCGGAAGGTTCGGGCTGCTCCTTCCGTTCTTTGGCCTCCTCTTTGGCTATAGTGTTCACCCGGGAAGACGGACCGGAATCGCGTCTGTTGACCGCTCGGGTGTAGCACTTCCGGGCGGACTGGACATCGCCACGGACCACACCGACCCCACTTGGGGTGGGGAATTTCATGCAGAGATGGGGCATGGAAATTATCCCACCGATCTTCATGATGGCGGGTCGGCCTAGGATAATGTTGTGGACGCAATGGAGGTTGACCACAACGAACTCAAGCTCTGTCTTGATCGACCTCGGGGGGTGCCGATCTCGACCGGGAGAGTGATTTTGCCTTCGGGGTAAATGAGGGCCCCGGTAAATCCCGACAGTGGTACACCGACCGGAGTCAGCTCCTTCCTGTCAAGGCCAAGCTTCTCGAACACGTCCAAGTACAGGACGTTCACACTGCTACCCGTGTCCACCATAACCCTCTGGACGTCCGTTCCCTTGACGTCGATTGTGACCACGAGCGCCTCCATGCCGTGGTCACTGCTGCTAGGTTGGTCCTCTAAGGTGAAGGTTATGGGCTCCATTTTTTGTCTTTTCCCGGTCTCTCGGGAATCCACGATCGCAACCGGGCAATTCGTCCTCGGCTGGGAAGCGTCTTCTAAGCCACCAAATATGACATGGATGGTGGGCTTGCCGACCGGGCGACTGCTGGTCGGGGGATCAGGGTCCCGTCGGTCTTCATGACGATCGTCCCTTCGATCGTCTCTCCGGTCCTGACCCGACCGATCGGAGCGGTGATGAGATCGCCTGTGATCCCTCCGATCGGTATTCCTCTTGCTTTCTTCTCTCTTCCCCACGCACTTGTCCAATTTTCCCAAATTGAGCAAATCTTCCAACAATTGGCGCAGGTGGGCGCACTCCTCGGTATCATGCCCGGCGCATCGGTGGTAAGCACAGTGCTTACTCTTATCAGGGCCGTCTCGATCGGGATGGGGGAGTTTGATGAGGTTGCAAGATTGAGCATACTGCATGGCCTCCGCTGCAGATCGGTTTAAGGCCGTAAACTCCGCAGGCCTGGTGCGGGATCGGGGACGATCGTGCCCCGATTGATGTTCCGCCCGGCCGACCGGTTTACGGGACGAAGAACCGACCTCTTGTGAACGTTTCACGGCATTCGCCTCACCAGCATTGGCGTAATCCGTGACCCTTCGGAGGGCCTCCTCATACGTGGTCGGGGGGTGGAGGATAAAATCCTGGTACAGGTACCCCGCCCGAAGGGAGATATGGAGCATGTGGGTGGCGGTCGCATCATCCATGGGTTCGACCTCCCCGACCGCTGCTTTCCACTTGACGAGGAAGTCGGTCAAGCTTTCCCCTTCGAGCTGCTTGGCCTTCTCGAGGTACATGTAAGACTTCCTCACCACTTTGGAAGTAATGAACTTCCGTACAAACTTGATCGCCAGGGTCTCAAATTTGTCGATCGACCCCGGGGGCAAGGTGCGGAACCACTCTGCTGCCCGACCGGTGAGGGTTGAGTAGAAGGCCCTGCACATCACGGCGTCTGAAACGCCCTTCAGCATCATGTTGCTGAAAAAATCGTTCACGTGAGCCTCAGGATCTGTCCGACCGTCGTAGCTCTTCTCTCCCGAGACCTTTAAGTCGAGCGGGTAAGGCTGAGCCATTACCGCTGCTGTGAAAGGCGTCTGGTGGAGGGTCGATCGGTCGGCCGAGGGTGCTGTAGGATATGCACTCCTGAGCTGCGCAACTTCGGCCTGGAGATTGTAGAGCAATCCTCGGGTCTCGTTGAGCTCGGCGTTCTGGGCGGCTTGGGCTGTATCCCGAGCGCGTCGACGTCGATGTGATCTCGACCCGCTGTACCCGGATGAAGCCTCGTGGCTAGCTTCCTGCATTTGTTCGTCCTCTTGCCTGGGGTTCGGGTCCTGGGGTCCCAGACGCTGGCGCATCTCTGGTCGGAGACGGTCGAAAGCTACCGCTCGGGCAACCTCCTCGGGGTCCTCCGCTTGAACGGCCTGAACTGGTGCCTCCATCGCATCAGCACCCCCCGACCCCAACCGCGAATGAGCCGAGCGTCGAGCCCGGGAAGTGGACTGACGCTGCGGCTCTACCTGTGCGATTGGTTGTACTGGAGGGGCGGCGGCTGGAGCTGTATAGCCAGGCGTATATGGTGGATAGCCAACCGGGGAAGTGTAGCACATCGGTTGGCCTGGCCAAAACCCGTATGGTGGAGGTGGAACCGGATACGGGTACTGGGCGGGATACATCATCGGCTGCTGCTGGTATGGCAGACCGGGTGGTGGGTATCCCGGTTGTATATAATTCACCGGCTGCTGGGCGGCCGGGTACGTATTTGACGGATGTGGCGGTGAGAGATTAAGGTTGAGGTCCATCGTCTGACCCTGCTGTTGGGTAGCATAGTGGTCGGAGGAGCTCGCCGCATCCGCCTGGTCGTCGGCGAAGTTGTTGTGTGCCCACGGATACATGTTGGAAAAGAGACCGGGTGCTCGTCAAGACGTTGGCTCGTTGCACGGGTCCCCACAGACGGCGCCAAAATGATACTGCTAATTCTACGTAAGCAATATAAATAACACAAGACCAAGTAAAGCAGGTAAAGTCTTCATTGATCAAGGTAGAGTTCCTAAGTACAATCTACTTGGTTGCTCTGAGTACCGACTGAGTGCGGTCGGGATTCTCTAATAACAACCTATCGATCGTCCAAAAGTCCCCTACACTGTAGCTACTGTGGATATTTATAGCCGCGACGCCGGAGACAAGCTTCCGGCCGTTCGGCATGCTCTCCACGTAGCCTCCACGCGTCCTCCTCCCGGGTGCCCTGCCTGTCGTCGTAGAAAGCCGCCACGTGTCTTTAGTCAGCTCTCTCGCCGAAGGACTACCGCTCGGGGTTGACACCATCGCTCGGGCAACTCCCGGTCGGTTCCCGACCGGGTTCTTCTCAAGGAGCCCGACCTGTTACCTGCAAAGACAGAGAGAAAAGGACAAAAGGCTCCTCGGTCGTGGTGAAGCTATGTCGGTCGGGATATTCCCTACCAGCTATACTTAGTGAACCTGTCTACTATCACCATAATAACCTCCTTCCCTTGGGACATAGGTAGCCCTTCAATGAAATCCATTGAAATGCTTTGCCAAGCTTGTTCTGGAATTTTTAAGGGCTGCAACAGACCAGGATATGCCACAGTTTCTTCTTTACACCTCTGACATACATCACAAGTTTGGACTGCAGTAATCACTTCATTTTTCATCCCTTTCAAATAGAAAAGTTGTTTGAGCCTTTGGTAGGTTACCTGCTGCCCTGAGTGACCTCCTATTGGGGAATTATGTAACTGTAACAGAAGCCTGCTTCTCAGATCCCCATTTTGTCCAATATATAGTCTGCCCTTATACTTGATCAGTCCATCAATCACTGTGAAAAGAGAGTTTGTCAGGGCTGTAATTAGATTTTCAGTAAGTATCTTAGAGGCTAATTCATCCCCTTCATAACTCTTTATGACTTCCTCTATCCAAAGTGGTTTGGCAGTTGAGATGGCTAAGAGTTCTACTTGGTCAAGACCTTTTCTCCTAGACAAGGCATCAGCAACACAGTTATCTACTCCCTTTTTGTACTGAATGATATAATTCAGTCCCAATAGCTTGGTGAGGCCTTTCTGTTGCATAGTTATGGTTATTTTTTGCTCCAATAGAAATTTCAGGCTTTGATGGTCTGTCTTGATGATAAATGGCCTTCCTACCAAATAGGATCTCCACTTATCCACTGCATTGATAATAGAAAGATACTCCTTTTTCATATATAGAGAGTCCCAAATGCTTAGTCCCAAACCCTTTGCTGAAATAAGCCATTGGCTTGCCTTCTTGCATTAACACAGCTCCCATTCCTTTGTGGCATGCATCAGCCTCTACCACAAATTCCTTATCAAAATCAGGTAAAACTTGCTTCAAGGTTTCAAAGGCAGATTCAGACTCAAGACTCCACTGGAATGCATCTTTCTTGAGCATATTAGTAAGTGGTATGCTTATAACCCCATATGACCTAATGAACCTCCTGTAGTAGCCTTTGAGGCCTAAAAACCCTCTTAATTCCTTGACATTAGTTGGCTTAGGACAAGATGACACAACAGCCAATTTGGAAGGGTCAGTGTGCAGTCCCCTCTCTGAAATAATATGTCCATGATACTCAACCTCTTTATTGGCAAATGAGCATTTGTTGAGCTTGGCTAACAGCTTGTGGCCCCTCATGATCCTCAATACCTCTCTCAAGTGCTCCCAATGACTCTTTAATGTAGGGCTGTAGATGAGTATATCATCAAAAAAGACCAAAACAGTTTTTCTAATTAAGGGTTTGAACACATGGTTCATTAGTGCTTGGAATGTGGCTGAGGCATTTGTCAACCCAAAGGGCATGACCCTGAATTCATACAACCCTTGATGTGTCCTAAAGGTTGTCTTATACTCCTCCCCTTCTCTCATCCTGACTTGATGGTAACCAGCTCTGAAGTCCAACTTAGTAAACACTTTAGCATTGGCTAATTCTGAGAATAGGTCCTCAACTATAGGGGTGGGAAACTTATTCTTGATGGTTATGTCATTCAATGCCCTATAGTCTATGAAGAATCTCCAAGAATTGTCTTTCTTTGGGACCAACAGAACTAGGAAGGCAAAAGGTGAGTTGATGTGGACAATGATTCCTGCTGTCAACATTTCATCTACCATCTTCTCAATTGTGTTCTTTTGCAGAAATGAGTACCTATATGGCTTGATATTAACTGGCTTGGCTCCTGGGATCAGTGGTATCTCATGATAAAAAAGCCTCTTTGGTGGTAGTGTCTTAGGCTCCTCAAACACATCCTGGAATTCTCCCAGTATTTCAGACAATTCAGGGTAGTCTATATCTGTCTTGCCACTGGAGAGTACACTGTGGATCATTCCCTGCAATAGATACCCCTGGACTCCCTCCTTCTTCCACCTCCTAACCTCCTTCTTTGTAGCTTGTTTTAATGTAATCCCCTTAGTCATCCCCTTAAGTAACACTCTTTTACCATCCTTATAGAATGATATCCCTGGAGGCCTAGTATGGAGCTGGATTGGGGAATAGGAATCAATCCAATCCATTCCTAAGACCATATCACATCCCCCAAGCCTTAGTACTATGAGGTCTCTTTCAAAAGTTTCATCCTGAACCTGCCATTTCAATCCACAACAGACTGAATCACAGGACATTATCTCCCCATTGGCTACTGTAACTATGAGACCCCTAGCCTTCTCAGGGGTAATTCTCAATTGAACCAAGATTCTAGGATCTATAAAGCTGTGGGTACTTCCACAGTCCACAAGTATAGTGATTGGTTGTCTATTGATAGCACCTAGGAGTTTAATTGTGTTCATCCCCTCCCCACCAATAACAGCATTCAAGGTCACCTCCACATTCTGTTCAGGATTCTCTGTGGCTTCTGTCTCTTCAGTTAGGTCCTCACTGATTTCCCCTTCATTGTCCTGGGAATCAGCCCCTTCAATGATGTTGAAGGTAGGACTTTTACATCTGTGACCAGGGATCCAAGGCTCAAAACATCTAAAGCATCTATTTTACTCCCTGAGCTGGTATCTGAATTTGCTGATTTTAGGAGTCTTAGCATTGGGTTGGTAAGTGTTTGGGGTTGAAGTTTTGGGTAGATTCTGGTTAGTGTGGGGCTTATAGGGTTCAGAGCTCTTGGCTGGGTAAGGTTTGGAAAGTTGTGGGAATTTTTGGCCAGTGGGGGTAGGTTTATGAATAAGGTAGGAGGTGTTTCTGGATGGCTCACTCACTTTTAGTCCCTTCTCAAACTGCCTAGCCAACCAAATTGCATCCTCAGGTTGTTAGGTCTAGATGTCCTCACAAAACATCTCAGTTGTTGCTTCAATCTCACCACAAAGCTGTTTAGGAAGTATTGTTCATTTAGGTATGGGTAAATCTGCAATAACAAGCCCTTGTATTCTTCATATTTGTCAGCAAAGTCCACTACATTCCCCCATTGTTTTAAATTAGAAAACTCTTCCATAACATCAATGTTGTGTTCACAGAACCTTTTGCACATAGCTCTTGCAAAATCAACCCACTGAAATCCCACTCTCAGTTCATTGAGATGCCCTTCAAACCACAAACCAACCTTGCCAGATAAATTCACACACAGAATATTCATAACTTCATCCCTAGGTATCCTTGCTAGCATGAAAAATCTTCCACATCTAACTACCCACAACCTAGGATGTTCATAGACAAAAGGAGGGAATTCTTGTTTATACCTCATAAGTGGGTCACCTCCATGGTTGTGGTGCCAATTTCTGCCATATAGATTCTCCCTCCTGGGAGCCCAATGACCTCCTTCTGCGGCTCTAAGATCCCTCTGAAATTCAAACACATTCTCTCCTTGGTCCTCATTGTCACCAGATATCTCTTGGACATCCTCCTGGTTATCACCTGCTGGTTCCTTGCCTGGTCTTCTCCCAAGTCTAGAAGTACCTTCCCCAGGGCTGGGCTGCTGTGTTTGAGCTTGCTCGTGCATTGAAGATGGATTTATGACTGGTGGAATTGGCCTATTCAGCCTCAGCAGCTCCAAGACCTCATTTTTCCAGGCTTCCATACTTCCCATAAGCTCCTGGACAGAATCTTCTATGGCTTGCTGTCCAGATTCCTGCTTACTGCCTTACTCCATAACCTGAGCCTCTAGCCTGCTCATTCGATCCTCCATGGAAGCATTAGACGGAGTTCCCATAGAAAGGAGCTCCGATACCAAATGTCACAACCCAAAGACTTTGGAGAAAAAGATAGAGAAGAATGGGGGTAGGGTTTAGAAGAAATTAGGGCAAAGAAAAGAGAATTCTCATTACTTAGTAGATGCATACATTCACTAGACTAAATTGTTCTTTAAATGCTCAGAAACAAACAAAACTAAGGATAAGATATTTTCACAAAAAACGCTGCCAATCCCTGCTGGCAAAAAAACCTTGTTCGCAGGTGAAGGCCAAAACAGCGTCGCATGAAGCATCCACAACGGTCACAACTACCCCTTCAAACGCAGTCGTTTTGACTAAGTAGACCAACTTCTAACCGCCTTCTTCAAACGTCGTCGTTCACTTAAGTCTTTCCCTTTTTCAATTTTCCACTCCCCTCAGCCCAGTTCCTTTCTCCATTCCAGCCTTCTTCTTCTCCAATTCAGCCTCTTTTTCCTCCATGCAATTACTCAAGGTCATGACTTGTTTGTGAAGTCTCCAAAAAGGCAAAAACAAAACAAATATAAATAAATATAAATAAATAAAATTGAAAGAATGGATAGATACAAATTTGAAAATAGTGACCTATTTGCTCACACTTGTGAAATTTTTCTTAAAATATACTCCGTATTTTTGGTCCATTTTGTTTTGTTTTGTTTTTTTTTTTTTTTTTTTTTTTGGAATAAGGTTCAAATTGGCCATTGAACGTAACCTGAAAATGTAATTAGGTCACTGAATGAAAAAAAAAATACAATTAGGTCACTGAACACTTCAAAAAGTGCAATTAGGCTACTGAACACTCCAAACGTATGCAATTTCACTTACGTGGCAGTTGAGTTGGCATTTTTAATAATTTTTAATAATAATTAAAAAAAAACTACGGGGTAGCCGATCGTTTTATTTATTTAATTTTTAAAATTTATTATTAAAAATTATTTAAAAATTATTAAAAATGCCAACTTAGTTGCTACGTAAGCAGGTAATATGCTAAAATTGATGGTAAGTTGCTATTCGGTGAAATTGCATACATTTAGAGTATTCAATGACCTAATTGTACTTTTTAAAATGTTCAAGTGGCCTAATTATACTTCTTTTTTTTTTCATTTAGTGACCTAATTACATTTTCACCTTCAGTGACCAATTTGAACTCTTTTTTTTTTTTTTTAATGCTTAAATCAAGTCGCACCACCCACCAGCTTGTTGCTTGCCGCTCTTGCCTTGAGCAGTTGAACCCTAGACCAAGGGCATAGGCACGCGCCGCCTCTGACTGCTGCTTTCTTCTCTCTCAGGATGGCTGATTCTTCTTCCACTACGGCAGGGAAACTGGGTAATAATAATGTGAGCGAAGGAACAGTAAGGAAAGCTGTAAACGCTCTCCTCAAATGGAAGAAACTCCAGTGGAAAAGCCCCACCACCCCACGACAATCCGCAGAAGGAGATGAAGAAGACAACGATGATTTGATCTACCTGGTTCTGACTCTCAAGAAAATCCCACCCAAAGACCTCTCCCCAGTATCAAATCCCATCAAAATCCCACTCCCCCACCCCCTCCAATCCTTCTCCGATATCTGCCTCATTGTGGGCGACAAGCCCACTCAGGTCCTTTGCAACCCCATCAAGACCACACTCGCCTCCGAGGCCGTACAGAAGAAGATTAAATCCCTAGGTATCCCAATCACCAGAGTCCTCAAGCTCTCCAAGCTCAAATCCGACTTCAAATCATTCGAGGCCAAGCGAAAGCTAAACGAATCGCATGACTTGTTTCTGGCAGATAAAAGGGTGGTTCATTTGCTTCCGGGCGTTCTGGGGAAACAATTTTACAAGAACAAGAAGAGGGTTCCAGTGCCGGTGGAATTGAAGGGTAATGGGAACTGGAAGGAGGAGATGAATGCAGCTGCTGCTTGTAAATCGACTCTGTTGTGTTTCGGGTCCGGGACTTGTACTGCGGTGAAGGTTGGGAATGGGAATGGAGTTATGGATAGTCAAGAAATAATGGAGAATGTTGTTGCTGCTATAGACGCAATCGCTTCTCTTGTTCCCAAGAAGTGGGCTGGCATCAGGGCTCTTCACTTGAAGCTTTTGGATTCTGTGGCATTGCCCATTTACGACTCGAATGAAGGTAATGCATAGCTTGCTTGTTCGCTCTTCTACTCTTGCTTGCATTGTTGCTGTGCTTGTGTAACTACAACAACTATCTTCTCGTTTGAGACACCTCATAACAATGGAGTAATAGTTCAATTTTGGTTTCAATGATATTAGTTCAGTTGATATTATTATGATTTAGAGATTAAACTATTTACTTGTATCAAACCATGAAACTATTACAATGTGCAATCCAACTATCAGCTTAAGCTTTTGATGGAACACATGCCCGTATTTTGACTAGAAAGGAATCATGTAAGTTTCTCAATTATATATGTTCATAGAATAGATGTTGGTTGTTTATGTTCATTTTTTGAAATGAAACAAGTTGTTCTCTGAACTTCTTCCATTTTCAACAGCTTGATTGTTTTGTGCCTCAGATTGTTTTTCATTCCCATAGCTAAAACTATTGAGAAACAAAAAAAATGGCAAGGATAACTGAGTTTTGTTGTAAAGCATGTGCTCTGTCCTCCCATGATTTCTTCCCACTCAACTAATAGTGTTTCCACTTCTGGGGATAAATTCAGTTTTTGTTGTAAAGCATGTGCTTTGTCCTCCCCTGATTTCTTCCCACTTAACTAATAGTGTTTACACTTCTGGGGATAAATTCAGCCATACTAGAATGGCTAACTGCTTCCTCTATTTAATGGCAAATTATACCGTGCACCAGGGTGCACAATGCGCTCTGGCCCAAAACGACGACAACGACGTCGTTTTGTACCTTTTTCGTGTGTCTGCAGTTAACACCCTACAAACAAAAAAAAAAAATCCCCTGTCGGAAGGAATAGTGTGTATTTTTCGTTGGGGATTTCTTGGAAGAAATTGTCGCATATTCCTCCGATTCCTTATAAAGGATATTCGGTTTGTTAGAATAGAAGTGAAAGAGGGGATTTATGCTCGTCGTGTCCTTTATATGGACATCCGAGGCCAGAGGGCCATTCCTTTGACTCGTACTGATGAGAATTTGACTCCAGGAGAGATTGAAAAAAAAGCTGCTGAATTGGCCTATTTCTTGCGCGTACCAATTGAAGTATTTTGAAAACACACATAATCTTTTTTAAAAGGATAAAAAATTTTGAATGTACAGGATTTTATACCTGAAAACACATAATTTTATACTTGAAAACACAAAATTTTATAACTGAATACACATACATTTTCGTCGCGTTAATTCCCCACACAACTTAACAAAACGACGTCGTTTTGGGAGGCGCGGCAATGTGCGCCCTGATGCATGGTATAACGATTGCTATTTAATAATTTGTTGTATTGATACTTTATGCAATTAGTCTTGTAATTTCACATTGAGCAAAAACTGTGCCAAGGTGATTGTATCATATTGATGATGAAGTTGCTAGCAATGAAGATTTGAATGGGCCTAGCTAGCTATAAGATCTGGTTATTATGTGCTGTGAAGGGGGAAATGGAATAAGATCAAGACAAGAAGATGGTTTTCCCTTTTTATCCCTTAAAATGAAGGGCAATCTTATATTAGCAGCTGATTTATTTATAGTATAGGTAATGATATTTGTGTTTCACTGCATTCTTGGAAATATGGATTTGAAATCTCGGAATTGCATTCAAAGCAATGCTTAGAGCTTAGAGCAGGAAGCTCAAACGTCTAACTCCAAAACCATGGCAAAAGAAATTCCATGGAAGGGGTCTTCAATGCAAGATAGCAGAAGCATTGGGCATAAGGGAAGCTCTGTTGTGGTTAAAGAACTCAGGAATTGACATTATACAAGTTGAAATTGGTGCAGTGGAGGTAATAAAAGGACTCAAAACTTCAAAGAATTCGAGAATTGACAGCATACAAGTTAAAACCGGTGCATTGAAGGTGTTAAAAGGACTCAAAACTTCAAAGAATTTAAGAATTGACAGCATACAAGTTAAAACCGGTGCATTGAAGGTGATAAAAGGACTCAAAACTTGCAGAATTAATACGACTTTTGATTTAATTATGCAAGATGTTTGCTTTATTCATTTAAAACAATCTGCGAATATGGTAACTCATCTTCTAACTAGGAGCGTCATATCTAAGACAGATTGTATGGAGTGATTTACAATTCTTTGTCTCCTTGTTTACGAAGTTACAAGATTCAATTTGCTAATTTAATGAATTTTGTTTTCCTAAAAAAGATCAAAAACCTCCCTGATAGTGTGAAATGTGAACATAATAAAGTCAACCCAATCCATTTACAAATTCGTAGCTCATTAACCAAATCAAAACCCCAAACCTATTCGTAATATCTCTATTGTGTACCGCAAGCACAAACCTTCATTTCATTACCAACAAAAGAAAAATAAAATAAAATTGAATAAAAGATGAGGTGAAAGTGAAAGTAAGGCCACTCTTGTTGTCTAATAAATAAACAACTCAAACAATATGGTTTAAGCTAAGCTACTCATTCCCCATTTCTTTATCAATTCAATGATTGATTTCCATTCTAACCAACCCTTTTTTATTGATCAAAATATAGTACGGACTACGTTTTATTCTGTATCCAAGAAAACTCCATAGTCCTAGCAAGCAAGATTTTTATTTTTTTTCCTTTTTATCAATTTGGTTCATGACAACAAATAGGAATTTTTTGTGAATTTACAAAAATTACCCTCTGATTTTCATTCAAAGAAAAAACTTACAAGTCAACATTATCCAACATTTTTAATTACTTGATGGACTAAAACTGTCCATTTTCAATCAGCAAGCATTGCATTGGTCCATGATACACTTTTTTTTTTTTTGCACTTTCTAAACACCTCCATCCTCAACAACCTTGAATAAATGCTTGCAGTTGTTTTGTTACATTGAAACATGTTGATGTTCTTCTGAGTTTTACCTCACAATAGAGTAGGTAATGAACTCTGTTGAGGTGAACTGGAATGGTTGAAGTGGAATGGGATTCCTGCATAGCATAATAATTTAGATATACTTTGTGAATGGGTGATCATCCATAATTATTTTAAGATTAAAAATCCAAAGCAAAAGAAGAATGTATATGACGCACGGCCTAGGTCCATAGACTTTAATCTGGCGGATATGAGTGTCCCTCCCATTCAGATGATTTGACAAAATTGTCACTTGCAACATGAAAGTGTTGACAAAGGTTTCACTACAGCACAACACAGGAAAAACTTGTATGGTTAGTGAGCCCTTTAGCAACAGGAACAAGTCAGTCAAAATGAAATAAAACATAATGGGGATGATGTTTATCCAATTACTTCTGTGCAGTAAACATTGTGAATAAGCATTCTTTTATTTAAAAGCAACAACTATTGTAGTCAATGTGACTTTCTCCCTTTGTAACTTAAATCTACAATGATTCCACTAATCCTTTGGAAAAAATGCAGGACTAGAATCTCATTAGTCAACCTCATTTTCTCATGAGCAATTAATCTGCCAAAATTCAACAAATAACGCTCTCTCCAAAGTACAAGGCTAAAATCTTAATCTTTCCTCAGAGTAGATGAAACACAAGATGACAGTGATTTTCAATTTTACAAGGAAAAAATTTACACATTGACACTTTGTTGTTTAGTAGAATATATATCAAAATTCAACAAATAACGCTCTCTCCAAAGTACAAGGCAAAAATCTTAATCTTTCCTCAGAGTAGATGAAACACAAGATGACAGTGATTTTCAATTTTACAAGGAAAAAATTTACACATTGACACTTTGTTGTTTAGTAGAATATATATCAGAAACTGTAAAGAACCACAGTAAGGCAACTACATTCAATTTAATGTTGAGTTTCATATGGGTAGAAATTGAGGGGATATAATTTTAGGGAGATTAGAGGGAAAGGAAAATGGAGAAGTAAATTTGTGATGGATGAGAAGAAATAAAATGAGATGAAAAGAAGAAAGAAGAGTGAGAAAATAATGAGAAAAGGAGATGATACATGTATTCAGGCGAGGGAAGACAGATTATATGTTTAGTGTGAGTTGAGAAAAGAATGATCAAGTTTCTCCTTACATCACAATTGGAGAGGAAATATTTGATAGGATGGATGATTATTTTCCACCCCATTCTCTATTGGTTTTCTTTTTCCACCATTTCCTTCCCAATCAAAACAAGAGAAATTTAAATCTTAAGCTCTCTTTCCTTTCCTCCCATTATATTTTCCTCCATTTTCCATCCTTCCAAACCCACGAGAAACAAAGGTTCCAAGATGATTTACTTCTTTAGAAAAGGATTTCATAAACATGTTTGATAGAGAATTTCCATTTACAAAACTAAGTCAATCACTTGGAGGTCTCCTAAACTCATGGGTTTGGTTCAATCAATCCCCTCAGTTTACATGAACTAGGAAAAACAAAGAACATTAAAATTAATGAAGGCCACAAAATGGAAGGAAAACTAGTGCAAGAGATATGTTTATAATTTTATACAAACAATATAAATGTAAGTGTTTGTGTTTTCTTTTAGATAAGTGTAAAACAATATTTTGAAAGCTTCTATTTCTCACCGAGGATCATTCCCAGACAATGATATATACACCCATCCGGTTGGCTTGACAAGTTCCACTGATTTTATCTCCTGATTTAGCAAATGAAAGGCCCCAAATCCACTTAAGAAAAACATTGAAATGTTGAATAAAATATGCATTCCTACATCACATTTTCAATATTAAAACTGAATCTAATCAATTGAACAGGAACCCCTAATCAATCCCTAAACACACACACGTACCTTCAAGTTGTGGAAACCATCACCGGCACGAATTGAAATCTTACTAGGGGTGTAGCTCTCATCAAGCTTGAAATCAACATATAAAACTACTAACTGGAAAAGCAATATAGTTAAAACATGTAAATGCAACTCATTTTTGAAAGAAAGACAAAATTTCAAGATGCAAGTAAAAAAACATACTTGGAGCTTTACTTTCTTCTGGAACTGTATATTTACCAGATGAGGTTGTGCACCATCAGATCTAAACCCCATTTGAAGGGGGGAAGGGAGAGAGAATAGAATTAGAAAATAGAGACATGAATTATACACACCGATGAAGAGTATTTATATAAGTTTACTAACTGCCAGTATGTATCAAGGTTATCATCTCGAAGGGAAGTAATGCCATTTCCAGCTTTGCAAGAGCTGACACTCCAAGCAGCCTTCTTAGCCATCTCACAGAGGTCATCATCAACCAAAAGCTGTTGGCTACCTCCTGTCAGCTTCCCTTCTTCCTCTCCTTCTGATGAATCTGCCATTGAGTTTACCTTACTTCGGTGGACTTTGCTGCTATAAAAAAACATCTCAGAGGATCTAATTGAAGTAAGAAAATTTAATCAACTGAAACAAAACCCCTAATTTTGGATAGCATAACAAAACAAGTTGGAGTTTTTGCCAAACACAGTGAAACCCAGTTCCTTTCAAATTGCAATTCCATCAGTTAGTATTAATAAGCCTGATTGATCAATGAGAGGCTCAATCATTCACAGGAAATTACAGAATTTCTTACTCCTGTAAATTACAGACAAAAATGCCTAAATCTCCAGAAAACAGAATACCTAATGGTATCAAGATCAGTACAGATATGGATAGACAGGTCATTCTTAGCATGCCATGAAAAATAAGCAGTTCTCTAATTAAGTACAAAATATTCTCTAGCTGTATCCCATTTACAGAGTACCAAATATTCATAAACTTCAGCACTGGATTGGTTAATCATTGGAGACAAGACTTGCATAAGTACTGCCGAAAGAACACTCCCATATATTCAAGTGACAAAAAGCAATGGAAAAAAATTACATTGAAAACCATAATAAGTTTAACGTGGGCATTTTATCAAACACTACGCAGCTTGCCATTCATTTTTAAATTGCCCTTTAGAGCTATCACTTACCTTTGTATAGTCGAAGGCAGCCAAGGATCAAGCAATCATAAATCAAAAATCAAAATATCCAGATTCGAACTTGGAAGACAGAAAAAGTCATAAATCAAGCAAGAAATCGGAAGAGGAACTAAGAAGGGTACCTTTTGTCAGAGAAATCCGGCGGTGAGCGAGTGAATGGTCTAGCCGTGAGCGGGTAACTGGTCCTGCAGTAGGCGAAGTTGACAACGAGCTTGGAGTAATGGAGTCTGGTCCGTGGTCCGGCGAGGCAGCGACTTTAGCTTGGAGCTTTGCGGCTACGTCGCGACTCGCAACGAGTTAGGATTTCTGATTTTAGTTTTTCAAATTAACAGAGAGCAGTTCACCAACAAGTTAGAATGCTTAAATTATTATTATTATTATTATTATTATTATTATTATTATTATTATTATTACTAGTAGTTTCACCTCTGCGATCATGGATTTTTTAAAATATTTTAAAAATATTTAGATTGATATATAATTATATAAATTATTACATCAAATATTATATAATGTAATTGAAGAATTAAATTGGATTGATTGCATTTGATGATGTTATCATTGCTTGAATTCGATCAAATAATTACTCAATTAATAATCAATGTGTAAATGTACACATCGGTAATCAATGTGTAGATGTACGCATCCGATGCTGAAAGCCTGAAACTTTAGGGGGGCGTTTACTAACAGGGAAATTTTCAAGAATTCTTAGAAATTGAAAATTGAAAACAGTCTAGGTGTTTATCATGTTTTTTTCCCATTTCCAAAATTGAAAACTATTCCTCCTTTTTCAATAAATTTGGAATACAATTAAAAGTTGTTTTCAAAACAGAGAAACACGTGTGAACAGTAGATCTGCTCATCGAATCCGCCAGCCTTATTTCTTCTTTATTTTCTTCTTTTCGATCTGCTACTGCTTTTCTTCTTTTCGATATGCTACTGCTTTTCTTCTTATACGATCACCGGAAACCCACCCAGAATCGCCCCACCGTCCATGGCGGCCTCTTCTCCAACCGCCAGACCATTACCAACACCCAGCCTACTCTAAAATCACACCGCCTCCCGCAGTCCGCTCTCCCCTACGAATCTACGCACCTAAAATCGGAATCATTAAGACGGCAAAATTTACAGTTCAAAGACCAGAGACGAGAGCACTTGAACGAATACAAAGCCACGAAACAATTTAATTTTGAGTAAATTATTAATATTCATTACATTTTTCAATTGGTCTAATTTATTTGCCATCTTTAAGCAAAATCTTCTTACACATTCTATACATAATTACACATTTTTAGAGAAAATTTCAATTTTGGTCCACTGACTATCAGTGATGTGTTAATTGCAGCACTTGACTATCAAAAATGTTAATTTAGTACCTTGACTATGCGATTTCTATCAATTTTGGTCACGCCGGCCAAATTACCGGCGATTTGTGACCGGAAAAACGCAAGTCAACAAATAGACCGATTTGAAAGGGGCAAAATAGTATTTTCATGTTGTTTCGACGATTTGGGAAAACGGATTGTTGACCAAAATTTAACCCGACCTGTAACACCCCATTAATTTCCAAGCAGAATTAAACCTTAAACATGCAGATAACTAACCAAAACATCGAACACAGCGGAAGACTGAACAAGGATTATATAAAAAGGAAATGAAAAGGGTGTTATGCCACGCCCACCCAGAGGTGAACGCACAGGCTAACATCTGCATAATCCACAATCTAAATCCATACATAACAAGAGTACTAATGTCTATCCTTGGCACACAGGCCACAACAACTCAAACAACGGGATCTACACTAACAGGTTCTAGACCGCGCTCTCGTCTACACATCACCTGAAAGAAACACATAAAAGATGGGAAGACGCCTGGTCAGCGAATAATGCTTGTAATTCACCAATACATGTGAAATATCATACATAGATAGTATATATATATATATATATATATATATATATATATATATATATATATATATATATATATATATATATATATATATATATGTTCAAAACCAAGAGCAGAAGTCAACACAAGACTCTATGCACTCACAACAAGAATACGGGGACACATCCCAAGATCACAAGAAGTAAGAATAACTCACAAGAACGGCTCAAGTCATAATCTACCATCACACAGTAGATTAACACCCGACATGCATGATACAAGAGAAAGGACACAACCATTGGCAACACATTGCCTTTGTGACAACACATGTCACAAATAGAGGAATACACAACCACGGCTACACAAGCCTTCGTGACATCACTCATCACGAATTGATATGCCTTCCTTATGCCCGGTTCCAACCTTATGGCTACCCCCAACCTTATATCTAGTTCCAACCTTTACCTCCAGGACCCCTGTACACCAAGTCTAACCTTATTCCCCCGGGAACCGTCGTTCCCCCTCCAACAGAACCACTGATTTCATAGTACACGAGGATACCGATCACACATGGCAACACATGCCCTGGATAACACATGTTATCCCAAAAATAAACACGTGAACCTTACACAAAGGCCACAAACTCCATAATCACGTCATGGCCACCACGAGGACCACTGCCGTACCTTGGTGACTAGTGTCCCATACCACTAATCGTGCAATCCAGGTACAGCCACACACACCACACGTCAACAGGAATCAAACAACGGATCACAACGAAGATAAGAAACCATACTCAATCAAGGAATGGGTCACAGCCCAACAACAACGATGAATGACACAAGTCATCATCAACAATAGGAATGTACAAACAACACACACGCTAGCATTTAAACACCGAACTAGCATGCTCATCAAACGGGTAAACCAAACGTAGTTCCGAAGAACACACAAGACTCATCACGGTTCAACGAAACACAATATTGAACACTTAGCATGATTCAAGATACCAAAACCTACATGGATTCCTACCATATAGTTCTAGACATACGAAACACCAAGAAGACGCTCAAATAGTTCCACAAAAGAACATCGAGAAGTCAAAAGACCAAATACCGAGTCAAAAGAATCAAGGGGAACAAATCCCCGCCAAGCCAACATATGTACCCCGCGGGTGGGCCCACGGGTGGGGCGACGGGTAGGCCACTGCCCGCCGTTCCGCCCGCGGGTACACCAACTGTACAAAATAATCCCTTCGGAGATTTTCAACACCAAGCTCAAATTCAAGTCCAAAACATGCCAAATCTCACCAAATACAACAAAATGACTTGAATCAAAGGAATAGCCAAGCAATGGAATACATGAACCCTAATAACAAGCTCTAGATATGCATTTTCACAAGACAATGCATAAACACTCACATTTCATAGCAAAATCACATGTAGAATCAAAGAATCATCAAATAGGTAAGCAAAATAGAATTTGTAGAGCATGGGTTACCTCTTGTAGACAAAAACCTTCACTTAACACTTCACCAAGCTCCTAATAAGGCTCACCTTCCAAACCCACTTCAAGAACACACCAAAAGATCATAAAGATTCTATCTTTAAGGAAAGATACCTTAGAAAACACTAAAAACACAAGATAAACATAGATCTTACCCTCCTAGATGCTCAAATGTATGAAAGGTAGAATCTTGGAGACAAACTTTGAAGATTTGACAAAGCTCCAACTTGGCTTAGGAGAAAAGCTATCTAACTTTTAGAGAGAAGGAGGAGTTCAAGTTTGGAAAGGGTAAGGAGAAAGAATGGGGAGTGTCTTCTAGGTTAGATTGCATTACTAACATATGGTGAAATGTCTTGAATACCCTTACTAAAATGAAGAGGTGTAAGAGAACAAGGGAACTACTCACAAAGCTTTAGGTACAACCTTGACTTTGGGTTGACTAGTCAATTACTAGTCCCCAACTATTGAATTTTCAGGAATTTAAGGAATTAAATTACCAATTGAATTAGGATTAATTACTTAATTAATCCCTTAATCGAATTTGGATTACGGGGTGCCACATCCTCTCCCCCTTCAAAGAAGCTTCGTCCCCGAAGTTTGGGTACGACGAATTAAAACAAAACGGTAAAAAGGAACAACAATGTGACAAGAGTGTCAAGGACATTATCTTTTGGTCAAAACCCAAGAGGTTCACAAGTTGTCAAAACAAGCAAGAAGGTATGTCAACGCAAGGATTGCAAGAATTTAACCAACGGGGATGATGAGCATAACAAACTATAAACCAAACACAACCACCAACTTCTAACCAACAACTAAGAACTAACAACTAGCTCAAAGCACCAACCACCAAAACCAACTACTCAACTAAACAAACAAGCAAGAACAAGCACACAAGGCAAGCAACAAGCGACTAACAAACGGTAAAAACAACTAAGAGGTAACGACAAGCTGCAGAAGGATAAACAGGCTTACCACAGCACCGGTCCGGTCTATTGATCGGTAAATCAAAACTTCATAAATCCTCCAAGTCCTACAAGCTAGGCAAACCGACCGTCGGTACCCTAAGTATAGTTTGATGCATCGGCATCGTGAGTTCAGTCGGGTCATTTCCCGATCGCAATCAAAGTTGCAAAGCAAACTCGGGAAATTATCGTATCTACTCTCTTATGTTGACGATTCTCGCAATTAAGGGAGTGAGGGGCTACACCGGTAGTAGCTCGTCGCGCTCCAGCGTAGATCGACCTTCCCGATCTCGTAGATCGCTTCACGCGTAGATCGACCTTCCCGGTCTCGTTGCGCTCCCGCGTAGATCGACCTTCCCGGTCTCATAGATCGCTTCACGAGTAGATCGACCTTCCCGGTCTCGTAGATCGCTTCACGCGTAGATCGACCTTCCCGGTCTCGTAGACCGCCTCACGCGTAGACCGACCTTCCCAGTCTCCTAGTGTTAAGTGATAGAAAGTTTGCTCCCCAAATCACAAACAAATCCGACCTCCCCGTTGTACCTAGAAACCCGGTCGGTAGACCGGTATAGTAGACCTCTAGATCGCAGCTAACCCGACCTCCCGATCTTAGCTAGCTTCCCGACCGCTCGATTGGTAAAGGTTCGACCTCTCGGACCGTGTTGCAAAACCGACCCCTAGGTCGGGCAACCCCCTTTTCTTTTTTAGTCCACCAGACTGCGTTTAGCGTTGTGCTCTTTTTTTCCTTAGCTAAAATTTTTTTCCACTGCGTTTTTTATTAGCTTATGGTTTTTAACGAGGCAACCGACATAAGTCATGGGTTCGATACCCACAGACAGCGCCAAAATGATGGTACTAATTCCCGGTTGTACTCGTAGAATGTATGTACCATATGTACGTAATGTAGAATGTACATAGTATGAACAAGGAAGAAGAGATATAGGCAAAGAAGTCCTTTTATTCA